TGCTGTGTTTATTTATTTTGTATTCTTTGCAGTTCTCAAATATTAATATTATATTCATAGAATTTCTACCACTTTCATCCTCCTGCTTAAACCCATATAAACCCAATCACACTCCAAGTCCTAAGTTCCTTTTTCTAATTTTATATGTATATATAGCTGTAAACATATACAGATACATATGCCTTACTTATTCCATTTAGAGCTGTTTCTATTTCAATGTATTTGGTCTAGCGAATTTGAATTAGAAAATATGTCAGAGATCTGGTCCTAGTAAAGAAAACATCTTTATATATCATAGAGACAACATTCCTAAAAGAGACAAAGACCTCAGGAGACACTGAATGCATGTGATCTTGATTTTAAAATGCACTCAGCCAAACTATGGTTTTTGAATATGTCTTCTGTGAATTCACCAATATAAATCATTTCATCATAGCCTCCAAAATGTACTACCAAATTCATGTTTCCTGGAAACATGACCAATGATCTATCTCATCAATAACCTTAAATAGACATAAAAAGATTCTTTGGTTTTGTTCCACATAGAGATAATAAACATTATGAAAAGGAATCATTGCTATTGCAACAGTTTCCTTCAATTAATCCTCAACATCAAAATGCAGATATTGTGACGTTTCTTCAACACACTTAACTGAAATATCTTGAAAATATTAATGCTGAATCGACACTAATCATACTTTATTTTCTTCATGAGTTGTGGATCAGTGTGTGAAGTATCCAGAGGACCAGTATGTCAGCACAGAGCAGAACCAAAGCAATCATAAAGCTGTGATCATGATGAACTATGAAGACCACCTGGGGATGGATCTTGCTTTAATGGACTTGTGGTTTCTATGCATTCACAACTCTGGTTCTTGGGGTCTTTGTCAAGCACCATGATACTCCCAATGTGAAGGTCAACAACCAGAAACTCAGTTACATCTTCCTTATCTCACTCATCTTTTGTTTCCTGTGCCCCTTGCTCTTCATCAACCATCCTAACTCAGCTACTGTACTCTGCAGAAATTTGGAGCTGTATTCACTGTGGCTGTTTCCACTGTGTTGGCCAAAATAGTGACTGTGCTGATGGCTTTAATAATCATAGCCTCTGGAATAAGGATAAGGTACTTCCTGGTTTCAGGGCCCCTAACTACATCATTGCCATATGTACTCTGTTCCAAGCTATTTTCTGTGCAGCCTGGCAAGTATCTTATCCTCCCTCTGTTGATATCAATACACATCTGATTATGGCTACATCATCATTGTGTGCATCAAGTGCTCAGTCACTGGCTTATACTGTGTCCTTGGATACATGGCCTGCCTGGATCTGGGGAGATTCACTGTGGTTTTCTTGTCCAGGAATCTGCCTAACACATTCAATGAAAGCAAGTTCTTGACATTCAGCATGCTTTTGTTCTGCAGTGTTTGGGTCAGTTTTCTCCCTGTGTACCATAGTACCAAGGGCAAGGTCATTGTGGCTTTAGAGATTTTCTCCTTCTTGGATTCCATTGAAGGCCTGCTGGGTGCATCTTTATTGCCAAGTGCTTCACAAATTTGTTATGAATAGACAGACATTGTTTTCAAAAGATCAGAGAGAAATCATCTTCCTGAACTCATATTTAATGAATTCTCACTGGCAAATATATAGTTGGTTCATAACCAAAATATACTGGATTACATTGCAAGTCCTATCTCTTATAAAATGACTCACTATTTTCTCTATTGATGTTGCCTAGCAATAGCATGTCTAGTATTGTTTCCTACATTGTCTCTTATAACCTACTCAGCCATACATTCCCTAAGACCTAGCCATTGGGCAATAGTGCAGAGTGGAATACTCTTCTCTGTTCTAAAATGCAGAAGTGCTCAAAGTAAATTCAAACTTATTTTAATATCTGAATAAATGCTTGACTTTGATGCAGTTGAGGGGTGAGAGAAAAAGACAGGATATTTGTGAAAGAGTGAACATTTTTGTCGATGGGAGTAAAGCAATATATGCTGTGGGAGGGTCTGTATGTTAAATGAGTTGCTCTGATTGGTTAATAAATAAAACACTGATTGGCCAAGCCAGGCAGGAAGTATACGTAGGACAAACAGAGTTGAGGATTCTGGGAAGTGGAAGGCTAACCCAGAGAGACACTGCCAGCTGACACATGACAAGCAACATGTGAAGATGCTGGTGAGCCACTAGCCACATGGTAAGGTATAGATTAATAAAAATGCATTAATTTAAGATAGAAGAACTAGATAGCAAGAAGCCTGCCATGACCATACATT